CCCGGGCGGGTGGGCGGGCACAAGAAAATTTTTCTTAAGACAAAAAGCTTGCATCTAGCAGTCTTGCAGTCTTACACATGCTATCACACGAGCGCATGCTCTGCCTTCTTCTTGCATGTAGCTTGCTTGAGCACACGCACACATTGTTCTGACACACACAAGCAATGTGATGCGGCATGCACACGCAAGTTGAACAACGCTGATCAAGACACGCAGAAACAATGCTGATCAAGACACGCAGAACTTCAACAAACTTTTCAGGAGCTTAACCCCTTAGGCCCGTCCACACGGGTGGACTTACAAAGCGTCTAAGTGAAGGAGCAATCACTCCGCTCCGCTCCTTGACAACACTCAAGGCTGTACTGCAAAAGGCGAAATCCCTACCAACATATCCCGAATCCAGAACAGGTGGTTTTTAGTACCAATGTAACGCCCAAAGAACCCTTGCCCTACCCTCCCTAAACCCTACACCCCAAACCCACGCAATTTCGCAGTAGGCCGCCTGCATCTGGACGTTTCGGGCCTTCAGGTGGAAGTAGTTCGCGCAGAGGATCTGCGTCACGGGTAGCTCTCAAGAGGATGTCTTCGACATGCACAACAACCGCAAAATCGAAGAAAATGCTGAAATGACGAGGGAAGAGACTTTGTTTAGTTGGCTCATGATAACTTCAAGAATGAGTGCAGCAACCGCACTCATTCCCAAACCTATGCAACTACACCTTTGAAATTCAAGGCCTGCGCAGTGATGTACTTGTTGCTGAAGGACAGGAACTCAAGAGTCCAGAAGGTTCCAAAGACGTAGAAGAAAACGCCTTTCCTCAGCCAAGGGTGTTTCATGGGTTCCGCTAAAGGGCGAACCTGGGGCCCCTAGTCTCTTTGAAACGAAAAAGCAACAATCTCACGGAGAAATACCGACCAGTAGTAAGACTTCATACGGTTGTCCATGTCGCTTCTGCCGCACTTCTGGGTCTGTGGATGTATGGGTGGACTTTCAAGCAAAGACGACAATGTGAGTGCTCAAGTCTACATAATGAGACGAAGATTTGTAGGGCGTACTGCGCTACATGTGCATTACGGTTCTACATGGATTACTGCACTGTGTCGTCGAATGCCCTGGGCATAATGTAATGGGAAAGCGGGATGACATCAACCTGGCTCTACTCATGCTGCAGATGGCCACCCTACCCCAAACTAGCAGGAAACCTGACATAAAGGAGAATTGTCAAAATCATGGTTCCTTCTTGGGGGCTGTGTTTGAATGCGCAGCCCAAAGGGGGACAATAGTTTTGATTACACCATATCCTGATCGTATCCTAGACCCTTTGCATGCGACTCGTCAGTTTTCCTATATTATATACCTCTACATGCCCCTGTACCACCCCACATAACCTTACGTGACCCAAAACACTAAACCTCATTTAACCCTGCAAAACCCCAAACCCTAAACTCTAAACTCTAAACCCCATGTAACCCTACACAACCCTAGCACTAAGCGAATGTACTCCCTTATGTATTCGTTTTGTACCTTTCCTGGCCCCTTTGCATCCGAAGACAACACACCCGAAACCCTGAAAAGCCTGAAACTTTTGCAGGAAACTTACTCAGTGTGGATACTTGTAACCCCAAATACGCCATATTATATACTAACTCCAGATATCCTTATCAAAACCCACGTTGCTAAATTTCCCTTATCTTGCTGCCCGGGCGGCAGGAAGAACGGGGACCATGCAGTTCGCGGAACCTTGGTCATGGGATGTGCCTTTTGTGTCCAAATTTCGCGGTTTAGGGTTTCGGGTTTGGAGGCTTGGGCATGTTTAGCATTAAAGGCCCTACTCGAGGGCTCACTCTGCAGCGACTCCCAATTCACCAAGGGGTGGGGGGTTGGGGGGATTAGGGGGGTGACTTCCCCTCGGACACTGTGAGTGAGCTCGACCAGGTTCTCATATTCCATCTGCAGATGTCCCAAATAGAATCCGAAATTGGACATAGGCAATCCTGGGAACAGCTCGTTTTCTTTGCGGTATGGGAATTTCTTGACGCAAGTGAATGCGAGGGATGTATGCTAATTTCGTGGTGCTAAAGTTCCTCAGCATCTCCAGGACTTGAATGCAGACCTTCTGACCCACCCCAGCACACCCTGTAGATACCGCTGATTCTGGGATCTGTATGTATAAGATACATGGCCCACAACTGCAACAGACCCCTAGTAAGGAAAATAACGGCACAAACAATAGCAGCTGTCGCAGCAATTAAAAATGATATTGTGAATGTAGCTGTGGCAATAGTAGGAATACTGCAAACACTCTTCATACTGACACCGTACAAATAGTACTCATGACACTGGGCTGCTAAATCCTACAGCCCTTATTCGTTTTCAGAATAGAATCCCCATCATTACTGTTACTTCTAAACTACTATCACTATTCTTATTGTTATACCCAGTTGCGAAATGAACCTCCCCAAAGAGTTGAAGTTCCACCTGTGGATCTCATGCGGTTTAGGGTTTAAGGTTATCTGCTCAAACGTAATTTGCAGTGTTTGGAGGGGTGAGGGGTTCGATGGGGGGGACCAAATATCTATTATATAGGTCTGGGCTTCCAAGTAAAGGTCAGGGCTTGGGTTTAGGGTTTAGGATTTAGGTAGGTATTCTTCAAATTTGAGGCCGCTCGAGGTCAGCGAGATTGGGCTTGAGATTCAGGGCTCAGGGTTATTGTCAAAATGATGGACTGGGTGTTCAAGAATGGGGTTGACAACTACCCAAGTAAATCTTGTAGTACTTGTAGTATCACTAGCAACCAGTAATTATGAGATTAGAATTATGACCTTCCTAGCACAAGTAACAAGGTTGTTCACAATAAAAACAAGAATCGCATCCAAAACCTGTCGAGGTGCTTTTGCTCTGAGACTTCAGGGTTCCAGGCCAGATATGGGGAAGCTATGCCTTCTTTCAGTGTCGTAACACAATGTTACGGTAGGGTAGCATTGCAGAAACAGACTGGTGTAGAAATGTTACGGTTGAGATCCGAGTTTATCTAATGTTTAGGGCTCAGGGTTTAGTATAACAATCTAGCAATTAAGCACTATGACAATAAAGCCATACTGCAATGCAGGAAGACAGTAGCATAGCCCTACAGTACAGCATCATGATCTAGTAACATAGCAATATGATACGTAATCTGGTTTCCACTTTTTCCAAGGTTAACGTTCAGCTTTCCAGGACGCAGTGCGCGCTTGACATATGGATCTTGAGGGATAAGATCGACACCTACACTGGTAGTAGAAGATACCAATATACCCAAAACATTACACAACCCCTGCATAAGACAACTCTAGGATTCAAATTTCCGTTTCATTTCCAGGTTCTTTTCCGTTGGATTCTGATTTGCGTTTGTATCATGCCTACATCGTGCTTACATAATCCTTTTTAGGGTTGAGGGTTTAGGGCAAATGGGAATATGTAAGTGTTTGATGACACGTTAGTAAGTCTACTTTGTACTAGGGATTATGGAGCTAAAAGCAATGGCTGTTCGGGAAAGTGGGTTCAGGGTTAAGGGCTTAGAGCAACACCAAAATTCCTCTCAACCTGAGGGGGCAGCCCTTCATGAAAGCTTTTAAGGGCTAAAATTATTATGGGGGTGATGGAGAATCAAATGGAAAGAGCATGGGATGTGAAATGGAAAATGACATGGAAACTGGGAATGAAAAGGAGTTCATAAGGCTTCTCGCTTCCTAAACTGTGAAATTACGGGTGCCATTTTGGGTGTAAGTTGTTTGGTGAGTCTATATTGAGGTCCCTCTATTAGGGAACCTACCATCTGCCATTTCCAGTGGGAATGTTTGATGGCATGTGCACTGGAAAAGGGTGAAAGTTCGCCATACTCAAATAGAAGGGCCCTTAAGCTACGCCAGCAGACAGCATATGGCTATGTCTGACAAATTTCATGCCATCACTACAACAAGAAAGAGCAAAGAAATCTACCTCATCACGACTCCTAAGCCAGAAAACGATACTTTCAGGTACCTCCATAGTACTATCATCATTCCTATTTTTACTACAAAAAAATATCTACTACCGTCATATAATTCTGAATATTATTGAGTGTCAGCAAAAGCTCAAGTCTCGCACCTCGTATGGCTCCACAATGCTCATGAGGAGTGCCAGCTGCCTGGTGGAGAAGAGGCAGAGTTCTTGACTGAAACCAGGTCAATCGCAAGAAGGCAAACCGATGTTTGCTAAGTAGAACACCCTTCTAAGAATGTGCTTAACACTGTTCTCTACAAGTATACACGCACTGCAAAACGATTGCTGTATTGGGCTTGCTCCAACCTAGTGATACATGCACGTTTCTGCGAACAAGACGGCCTGCAAACGTGAAGGATGAAGGCGATGCGGACGACTGAGAGGCCCATACTCGTGAAAACAGTGACCAGGACGTTCGGGTCAAAGATCGCAGCCACACATTCTCGGAATACGGCATGCGCTCTTGCCATGGCCGAGATAGCCGTGGCCAGGACCTGGCTTCCACACAAGATCAGGAAGGTGAATACATGAAGGCCTCTACCGCTTTTAGTTGTGAATAGAAACCGTACATCACCTAATCTTGAGCGTTCGTTGGGTTTGCGGTTTATGTACATGGAACATGTGACTCCATGGTCATCCAGGGGCAATGAAGAACAGGCCACTGCCCAAGTAGCAGCAGGTGCGGAAGTATGGCTGCATCATCAGCATCAATGGATGGGTCTCCTCAAAAAAGCTGCTTCTTGTTAGGATTCCTTAGAACGGATCACGGATCACAACAGCCCACAAAGGCGGAAAGACTACTGCACACGCATGTCGTAGGGACGTGCTTCCTATGCGAAAAAGACCCTGTCCTTGAAAAGTGGGATGTCCTTCATGACGCTTAGATCCAGGTCCATGAGCACACCCACGAGAGCCAGTGTGACAGCCGTTATAGAGAACGCGAGTGTGGTCGCAGCTGTAGGGATGTAGTAAAGAGCGATCCTCAGCTGCTGTTGGAACCTCCATGCATGGACGGTTAGCCTCCAAAATCAAGGTCCTTCTTCCGCAGCTCAGAAAAGCTCGGTGGTAAAAACAAGCACCGCCCGCTCAAAACATTGTTAGGGCACCTTAGTCCCCTACCACGGCCCCACATCCTTGTTTCGCCCACAACCCCACGCAACCGACAAGCAGCACTCTCACCTGCAGACATATGGGGTTACAGAAGCTGTCTAGGAGGTCCCAATAAGGAATGTGGAGGGCTAGCTCTTGGAAACACTTATATGATTCTAGGTCTTCAAACGATGTATGTACCACGTGTTGCCACGACGTATAGGTAACAGATCGAAGCATTCCAACTTGCTCACTCCTAGTTAGGCACAAAAAGGGATGGTAGCTTTTTCCTGGTTGATTGCTTCAAGCGCCCTATTGACATGTTCGTAGTGCTACCTAACCAAGTCCCAAACTGTATACCCTACACCCAATACCTTGAACCCGAGACGCCACACCCTACATCCTACATCCTACACCTAAACCATAACCAGCAACAATGATCAAAAAAATGAGCAGCAGCAGCAGCAACAACAACGATGATCATTGTTTCCATTGCCAACTTAGCATGAGCAAGCCGAACTCGGACCAGGAGCAAGTAGATGCCGGAAGTGACGAAGGGCACGGAGAGAACCAGCAGAATACCGTCAGAGGACGTAAAGATCACTCCAAGGGCCTTTCGGCTGATGGAAATCAATCGTTAGGATAGTTCGAAAAATTGAAATCCCATTGGGGTTATTTAGGCATAATGGAAAATGCAAGCTACTATTTAGGGTTTGGGGTTTCGGATAGTTTTTAGGGTCTAGGAAATCCAGCATGACCTTATCGTAGTGGAGCAAGATTCCCAAGGTATTTGAAGCACCTAGAGCCATGCAGGATGGAGCCTTGGGCTGGTCAGAGACTTCAACAAAACATGTTGTCCAAAACGCATGCGCTTCACATTCAACCCTAAACCCTACACCCTAAACCCTATACCCTGCACCCTAACCGTCAACTAAGCAGCTCCGGGTGTAGTGTCCTGGTGTTGAAGCTAAGAGGGGTACGAGTCTCAGCACGAAACACAGGCATCCTTCTCCAAAATTGAATGCAGTCCCCCACTGGTTCCATTCAGTTGCATGTTGTGGTGGTTGAGCCAAGTAAGATGACACCTTTTAAACTGCCATACTCAACAGGCGGGGGGTAGAATATCCTCAAGTAAGATACTACTCATCCTGTCTGCCACGGAAATGTTACCCTGTCTTAAAAGCTTGCTGTGCTAGCCTTCGTTTGGCACCCGCTTGCAAACACGTAGAGAAAGGCCATCCTTATAACATACCCCCATGATGACACCTGCCTTCAGTTCACTCCTCACCCCCAGCCAAGTCCATGGTAGGCTGGAATTCCCGCACTTTAAGGGTCAAAAGTTTGGTTTCGGAACTTGAGGTTTGGGATCTCGGAATCCAGCTTCCAAAGTTGACATTTCGCCTGCAAACATCATTCTACGACCGGACCTAAGACCTTCTCCAATAGCGACTGCCAGCTCCAGAAATACAATCCATACTCATTACAAGGATTGCTAAGACCCCCATGTGGATTGAGAAAAACCCTCGCAAGCTATGGAATCACCAGGTACCAAACCCCTCTGAAACCTTTTCGGAAAGCTTGGAGGTCCAGGGATTCAAACTCAAAATGCCGCTGGAATCTATGTAAAGTAGAAGCCCCTGCACCCCAACACAAAGATAAAGGGTAAAAGTTGAATTAATCCTGCTACTTCCACGTTAGAGCTTCTTCTGTTGCTGTAGGCATGTTGACGCCTTGTGGCCATTTCTAGGCTCAGCTCTCTCCCATGTTTATTAGTCTTCCTTCCAGGCCCTAAACTCTAAACCCTAAACTTTATTGATCTTCCCTCCAGACCCTAAACCCTAAACCTTGTCAATCTTCTCTCCAGACCCTAAACCCTAAACCCTTGTTAAGCTTCCCTCAAGACCCTAAACCCTAAACCTTGTTAATCTTCCCTCCAAACCCTAAACCCTAAATCCTTGTTAATTTTCCCTCCAGACCATACCTGTTGGGTGTACCTGTGGCCCTCATTTTGGGGTTTCCCAAGACTGGGGGGTGGCTTTTGAGGGGCCCGTAATAAGGCTTATATTAACTTGGGCTATAAAAGGGGGTTCTCTAGCTATGGAAATTATCTCTTCCCCAAACCGCAAGCATGGTACATTCCCAGCCTTGTACATCTCAGTCTGGACACTCTTCACCGAGATGATGAGCCGTGCAAGCTCCAGGTCCAGAGGTAAACACAGCTGGCCATAGATGTTGGCTGTCGGGTAGGCGGGACGCACGAAGTCCTGCTTGAGATGAAAAACGACCTAAAGTGGATGCTCAAAACATGGAACCTGACTGAAGGAAGACAGGTTCAAAAGCATATCTTAGACGCCGTTGCAAGATTCTAGCCTCACTGTTGTGTTTATCTGGAACCCATACGCCTGAGCAACCCCCTGCGAAGGACGAAGTAATCGCTCTGGCCGATTGATGAAGCAGTTCTAGCGACTTGCGGTTTTCCCAGGCGGGGGGCATTGGCTTTAGCCTGAAAGCCCAAGTTCAAAACAACCAGCCGAACAACAGCTGACCCCATACTGCCTCCACCTTAAAGCGATAAAGGAAGCTTGAAGACCTTACCCAGACCCTAAACTCTGAAACGGAATCCCACGCCCTGGAACCCACAGGTATATCTACACGAACAAAATTGTTTGGCAAAGGCAGGTTCTTGGAGTATACTTGGAGTTTCATGCATAATTAGAATTGATGGACGGTTTGCGCAAGTTGTCCTTGCCCATGGGCCCATCTGGTAGCTTGAAGGTGCCATCTGTGGCTGTCTGAGGGCAGGAGGATACGCAGATCACCATGTCGTTGAAGGGGTTGGGGTGGTAGCCCAATGGCTTGTCTTTCACCTGGTTTAGGGCTTAGGTTTTATTTGAAGTTGAACCCACAGTCTAAACCTAGAAACCCTTTCAAAGAGGCCTGCATAAGCATGGTTCTTTTCGTAGCTCCCATCTACAACAATACTTATTTGAGACTGTAGGACATTACCCATTACCAACATTTACCAACTGTGTTTTTCCGACCTGGGGTCTCCCCCAGAGAATACAACCCAAATCTATAAGGACCTAGACAATAACCTCAGCCTTAACCTTCAAGCCCTTCAACCCTCTGTTTTCCGATACTTTCCTACATATCCGCATGCTATCACCTGTTAAGCCTGTGCCAATGTTTGGCAAACCTCGTGTAGCTTCATAAGGACCCCAACAACCAGTCGTGACCGCGAGGGCAAGGGCATTTTCATTGGGTCCCTATCTATTCCTTCTATACAACTACTGCCTGGAGGCTCTCTTCACAAAGCAACTCTACTTAGCTAGAGGGATTTTGAGGTCAAGAATACGGTTATGGGACATAGTACGTAGACATGCGAAGTCAAAAGAGCCTGCAAGCAGCGCGTTGGCGGGGACCTAAGTTCTTCCACTCGCCTCTTCATCGTAGCCGCAAAGCCGACCTATGTAGTCGATTGGCTCCGATAGCCTCTCAGGGGATTCAAGGGCGATTACGGGGGCTTCCTTCTAAGGCTTCAGTGGGGGCCACTTTCACGACCTCCCATTCCAGGTTTAAGGTCTGGGGCCTAGAGTGGTACAAGTTAGAGGTTGGAAGCACTGCACTACATGTTCTGGAGGACATCCATCATCCCCTTAAGTGCTCACGCATCCCTAGAATCACAAGGTTATGCCTGTAATGCTCTTTTGAGCGGTCCCAAAATCTTTCGCCCAAAGCATATCAGCTTAAACTGCTCCTGCCCCACCTTCTTTTGAGAAAGCTTGCCCAACTTCTTGATTGACCCAGGCTCTCCACACGGTCTGTGCTGCTAAGGCAGAGTTTGGAGTGTCGAGTTCGGGGGTTGAGGGTCTGTTTACAATTTCCCTTAAGTAGATAGAGTATGGAATTCTCGAACATCATAATAAGATCCCCATCTACCCCATACTCTACCTACCTGAGGGCGACTCCAACCCTCCCAGACCGTGTGTGAGCTTTACAGCTACTGCGGGCCTCTGCACGTTTCCAGAAGATATAGCAGCGACATCAAGCCAAAGCATCCCCAGGAGGACCAGCAGGAAAAGAAGCAGGTAGGCAACATCCGTCACCTGGAGGTATACTAGGAAAATGGGGGTTTGGGGTTCAGTCTTAAGGGTTTAGGGTTTAGGTTTGGTCCGCTTGTGGGGGGCGGGGCCCTTCTAAAGAACCCCAAGTCACCTCTCCAAGTATAGTCCCCCTTAAGTAACTGGAATGGGGTATATGGGGGTCTTATTATAGTATACCAAAAACCATATTCTATCTACTTAAGGGGAACTATAGGGGGTCTTGCGATGATCGGCAATGGTTGCCGGCTCTGAACCCTAAACTAAACCAAACCTACCAAGGATGGCCTTAGGTATGAATAAGATTCAAGGTTCAGGGCTTAGGGCTTAGGGCTGCAGGTCTGACAGGCATATTACACAAAACAAATGTTTTGTAGAGGGGTAATTGTATGGGACTACGGGGTAGCACCTCTTGGGCTTTTCCCAGACTATGTTTTGCCACTTGCATTTCCATACAGCGGTGCAAGGTATCGCCCCCGAAAAAGTTTCGGCTCGACACAAAATCCTTATATACCTACCGTAACCCTGTTTTCCATCTTTATACCCAGCTCCCCATACACGCCTATCTAACCACTAAATTGATAATAACAGTGGGCATCCCAGGGGCCTGTCGGATGGTGTTGATGTCCTGCACCTCTTGCCGTCCAAATACCTGGGCCAGGGCGCTGGTGATGGGTTTTTGGGTTCGTTTAGAGTTCAGGGCTTAGACCCGGCATGGTACTCCACAGGCACGGTTCATTCCGTCTTTGGGGTCTAGGGGTTTCTGGGGCTCTTGGATGAACAGTGTGGACTTGAAGATGGCCCCAGGCCACTCGAATTTACCACACTTGGAAAACGTTTAAAGTTTAGGGTTTGGGGTTTAGGGTTTAGGGTTTGGGGGTTTAGGGTTTGGGTTTAGGGTTTCGGGTTTAGGCACGATGGATCACAGCCTTCCCGCAGCTGCACCCCTGACTGCTCTAAGTCCTCCAGCGCCGAGTCGCAGAGAAGGCCTCCTGTGTAGCTCAGTTTCTGAGAACAGGGTACCCAGACCTAGGGATACCTAGGGTTTAGAGTTTAGGGTTTAGGGTACCCAGAACCTAGGTGGTATATTGGGGTTATATAGGGATAATGGCAAAGAACAAGGAAGCTGCTATATTATAATAGGGTATATGTTGGGATTTAAGGTTTAGGGTTCAAGGTTTAGCCTAAGGTTTACAAGCTTACAATTGTGGTTTAGGGTTTGGGTACGTAGAGGGGTTCTAAGGGGAGGGAATTCTCCTTTTGAACCAGGGCCTAGGTGTATGCCTGCATTCTTGCAAGCAGGGGCCAAACGTGCTCGGATTCTTGAACTACCAAACCCTAAACCCCAAACCCTTTAAACCCTCACCCGTACAACCCAACCCTGAAACCTGTTGGGAGGAACTCCCTGCCTCATCATTCGCCACAAAGAAATACTGGGAGCGCACAGCTTGCCGCGCCACTGCACGCGTTGTCATCGATACCTACCCAGGTGCAGCTGTAGCGGGTCTAGGGTTTAGAGTTGAGTTTTGGGTTTCGTGGGTTTTGCTAAGATTTGGGGAACCTTTCAGATTTCAAATTCCCAAGACCTGGATGGTGCGACTTGGGGCTATATGGGGCGACTCACTTTGACAAGTGACAGTCAAGAAATTAAGAGCTGAAAGTTGTGGAAGTACCCTTCTTGAGATAATGTGGAACCCGAAGAGGCACGCCTTCAAACTTCTGTACTTGCAAAGGGGGTCGATGTAAGTGTTCCGTGTATGTTTGCACAAGGACATACCGCTGAGTGCACCCACCTCTTCTGCCGCGGGGCGGCACCTCAACTCAAGACACTCACTCAGCTTAGTCAAGAAACGAGCTAGCATTGGCGAGGCGGAAGGAGAACAAGAGGGATGACAGGAATTGCCACTGAACCCAGAAATTGCCTACATCCCTGTCTACGCACACTACATAAACCAAAAAGTACGCGCACAATTCTGCGCAGATGGTCGCCCTTTCCCGCGCATTTATTTCTTGTTCAGGTGTTGAGCTCTGAGATCTCGTGCAACTTGGCTCTCTCTTCCCTAGCCCGAGAAATGTCTGCTTGCTACGGAGCAAAGAGGAAAAACATGGGCCACTGTGTGTTGGGGGGTATAGGCAAGGCATGTGTCTGGCCTAGCACCTAGGAAACACCTGAAACCCAAGCTTGGGGACGGCACCAGGCGGTCTAGCCAGAAAACATCTCGCAGCACTCCAGCATGGTGGGCACCAGTGAGCCATGCCCCACAAGCAAGACGGAATTCTTCAGTGGGGCTGAGGGTCCAGGGTTTCTGTGGGCCTCAGGCCAATCGTCGTCCAGGTTTATCAGGTTCCTTCAGAACTATTGCTACGCAACTGTACATCTAGTAGTCTTTGAAATATATACTTCAGTGAAGAGATATGGGCTTTCGGTGTGGGTAGAGGCTTCCAAGATCTTTGGGGTATGCGCATAGGTGTGGAATGAGCTTTGGCTCAGGCATGAAGCTCGTGCTTTGCTGCGCTTGCCTGGATCCTTATGACGTAATCAAGATCCCCACCCAACAGCATGTGGCTGACATAAGAAAACGGGTTTAGGGTCTAGAGGTCTAAGCGTTTATGATTTATGTTTCAATGCTCAAGTTTCTTTGGCTTGAACATGGCCCGGCGTGACAGGAGCTTCTCACTCCGGAAGTGTCCCTTTCTGCAAGACTTTGCCACCATACGGGGTTTCCAAAAGTGTTGAGCCAAAATATGGAACTTTCTAGAAGTATAATAACTAATTATACATAACTCCTTTATCATCCTTATATAATCCCTACATTGTGAGCCTACTATATTGGCGTCTGCATAAAGGGCCCCTTGATCTGGAATGCTCCAATATCCCCTTGGAATCCCACCTGCTCGGTACCAAATTCCCAATCTTGTCCACCAAAGCTTTTGGCTTAAGGCTTCAGGGTTAGGCCCTAAACCCTGAACCCTAAACCACCCAAGGGCTTACCTAGGGTTTAGGCCGATTCGGGTTTATGTGTGGTTTGGGGCTGAGGGGACCTAGGAGCTCGTAGACCTTCCAAAACGACCAGACAGGTTGAAATGGGAGAGATCATATGAGCTATAGGCTATAGTCTAAACTGCTAGTATCCGCCTTGGAAAGCCCTACAATCGTCCCTATATAACCCTCTATATATATATATATAAATACCCCTTTAAGGAGTTTAGACTATAGTACATATGAACCCTAGGGCCCCACCGCAGGGATACATTGAGATTCTGATAAGATCCTCGGTTTTCCACAATGAGTTCTACACTGTTCGTTGGCCCACCTGTAGGTGACATTTGCACATGCGAGTTTCTCCAAAAAGGGGTGGCGCTTAGGATACATGAGGATTAGGAAGGGTCCCTATTGAGGATGCTATGGGAATGATGCCGTAATTGCCGTAACTTGCACCCAAAGCCCGCAACCGCAACCCTAACAGAGCCTCACTGCGGTCAACATTCCCATCACAGTCGGCATCCAAATGTCGGAGAGCAGTTCGGATGGAGTTGAACCTCCACAAATGGGGAGTTACACCCGGATGAAACAGAGTTGGCAAAGAGTTAAAAGGATTGTTGCGGGTATGGGAAGATAAGGCTTCTAAATGAGTCTAAAATCCAACAAAATCAATGCAACCCTCCCATGCCACCAACTCAAGATGTTGGAGGCAGGTGCTCTCAGGCCGAGAAATAGAACA